CCGATCGATCGACATTGGTATTGCAAAATTTCGTATTAAAATTACACTTGAGTTGCAACACTAGCGCCCATTGCATCTGTATAGCGTGGATATTAAATGAACTATTATTGAGTTTGTCTCTATATTAAGTACTCTGCATGCTATTGTAACAGCTACGATTGTGGTTGTATACTGTTGTCATTAAATAGTTATCGAGATTTTATTGCATTGAAATTGCATTGACAGTTAATTGGTTTCAAGAGTAAGCGCCCTGATTGGCCTACTCCAATAAACCAACCAATGAGGAGGCTAACAGCGGTCTTTAACTGTTGTGACTGTAAATTTAAATAAATAAATAGGATCTCAGTAATCTTAAGACTCGTACGAAATCCTAGGACAAACAGAAAAGGAAATAGTTTATTATATTCATGTTTTACAACTTTTGCAGTACAAACATGGCGTGCATTTTATTTATGTTTCCGACGTTTAGATTTATTCATACATAGTCGTTTTGTTCACTGAATTATTGTTTGTAAAGATTTATTCGGTATTTATTTATGATTTTGTAGAACGTGCTTATGGAGGCGGATATCGCCTTAAGTAAGTAAAGTGTGGGAGAGCCATGCTTCGGCACGAATGGGCCGGCTCGACTGGAATGATACCACGGCCTCACAGAAAACCGACGTGAAGCAACGCTTGCGTTGTGTTTCGTTGTGTGAGTGAGGTTACCAGAGGCCCATTTACCTTCCCCTTCCCCAATCTCCCCAATCCCTGAATCCCCAACGATCCTCAAACTCCTAATCCCCAAAAAGGCGGTGACGCACTTGTAACGCCTCTGGTGTTCCAGGTGTCCATGGGCGACGCCGATTGCTTACCATCAGGTGATCCGTCTGCTCGTTTACCGGCTTATGCCATAAATAAAGTACCTATAGTCCCACCTAATAGGGGGGTGGGCCGATTGCCGTATACCGGGCATAATTTTCAAACGCCGTACTACTACTGAGATTTTTTTTAAAAAAGGATATCTTTGCTCGACCCGGGCATCGAACCCGAAACCCCTTGCCCGACAGTCGTACCTGCAACCACTCGACCAACGAGGCTGAGAGTTGTCTTACATGTATAACGTTTTGAAACAAAACAATACCCCAACATAAAAAAAACCATGTTACCTACACAATCGCAAATCCCATTTGAAAAACAAATCACTTAAGAGAAATTTCAAATACAAGCCAAATGCCTGATTATAAAGAAAGAATCATTGTTCACATTAGCATTTCACCAATTTGATTTAGCAATGACTCATTGCATTGATAATTCAAATCTATTGGCAATAGTTACACCCACAAAATAGAATCAGATGCTTTCTCCATTCATTATGTCTTGTTATACGTTGATATTTTTGTTCATTATTACAATAGAATTAATTTGGGCATAATTGTAATGGCGTTACTTGGGCAAGAGAATGATGAGAGGTTGTAAAGTCAGTGGATTGCATGAGATGACTCTTTCAAATGATTAAAGATAATTAACTTAAAGTATCATCTCTAGTACCACCAAATAGAAAACATTATTTAAAACTACGTGTAATTAAAGAGTTTTCGAAATTTTTTAACCCTGGAAACAACCTAATCAGTCGATTTTGCAACAACCCAAACGTTGAGGTAGATTTTTTCTTCTAACCACCTACATGGTGTTTTACATAGAAATATTTATTTGAAATATATATTACTTTTACTGTGTTCAATAAAAAATCACATTCGTATCATTAATCGCATCAATAATTATTATTAAATCTTTTCATGTTTAGAAGGATAATTTATTGACCACATTTTTTTTTGATGACCGTGGATCCCTTTATCCCTTATCAAAAGTCGGCTGGCTTTTTAGGGAGAAAGACTATGAAGTGAGGGATTTGTATCTTACTATAACCACCCCGTTGGCCACCCACAGCACCTGTAAGGGGCACTGGGTCCTCTGAAAGAGACCACCTCTAATTCATTGACCACCTACACCAAAGACACACTCTAATATTATTCAACATATCATTTCAAAATTCAGTCACAAACCAGACCTAATCCATTCATTAGGTCTACTTAGACCTAACTAACCATTCTACACCCGGATACACAGGATTGATCAACATCATTGTGAAACAAGTGACCGGCGCATGCGACAGACCCGCCTTCTATTTCGAAAATGGCCGATAACCGCTTGCATTGTCTCATTTTCCGACTTTCGCTGCGCATCTAATGTAATACATAATTGTAGACTACTGTCTGTTTGTACGTACAACTGTTACGACACGCATTCTTGTCACATTGTTAATTCTTTAACTGATTGTTTGATATGTAACTGCCTGTGACAGTTTACTGCGGGATCATGAACCTCTTTTAAATAATGAGAATTTACCACAACCTCCTTGCTTAGGAGGCGGGTTGCAAACCACGACTATGGTACCTGGCTACTACTGAGTTACACGCAGAAAATAAACACTTCGTGTCAATACACGACGTGTAATATCTGTCATTTTCTTAAGTCTAGTAACGTGGTAACCGATTACACACGCACACATAGAAAACAACTGACATTTTTGTGCTACAATCATTTAATTTTCTATATGTTTTTTTCAACATCCTTGGTTGCAGGCCGTACTTTATAAGGTTCAGGGTTATCTTATATTGCTCGTCAAATGTGTAGTCCTAATTGAAATTAACTCTTTGAGTACCCTCATTATAGACACAATTAAAGAACAATAGGTTGCGGTCATCGGTGTCCTCGCGGTGTTTGACAGTTTAATAAACCATCTCAATTCTTAATCGAAAATCTATGGAATAAATAAATGTAACATTAGTTGTATGAAGTTTCTGTCAAAAATCGATCTTAATACACAGATTTAGGGTTTAATTTCAGTTATAAGTCGTGTCTTACAATACCCGCGAAAAGCATTTTTAGATACTGACAAAAGCATTTTTAGGACTTAGTATAAGTTTGTTTTACATTTAAAGTAATCATAATCAAAACGAGTACGCGTTCGATGCGCTGATTGGCCGGCACTAATGAATCAACCAATCAGAGTGTCAACCACGAATAACTATCGCATTCGTAACGTAAGAGTATCGAGTACTAGAGAGCCAAGCACAAATAACTATCGCATTCGTATCGTAACAATATCGAGCGAGTTAAGCGTTCTGATTGGTTGGTTCACTTGACCCGGCCAATAAGCGCTGAACGCGCTCGTGTTACAGTCACATATATTATTGCTCACTATTTTATATTTGTGACTAATAATATTGTCTAAGTATTACACTAAAATGCCAAATAGTAATATTGTGGATTGATTTAGTTTTTCAAACGTGGCAACACTATCCCTTTCGGGAATTCGCGCAGTTTTGCTTTAGACAGCAAAAGATTAATTTTTGTAAAACAACATAAAACAACACCATTTTGGAGACGCGGTTGCTAAAGAAGGAAAAAAAAAACATAAAACAAGTGAATACAAATTATTTTTGAAGAAGTCTGAGTTTTAATTAAGATCACCATCCTTCTGAGCGTTTTACTCGATACTATTACGTTACGAATCCGATAGTTATTCGTGCTTGGCACTCAGAGCGCCGAACGTGGTCTCGTTTCGATAACTTCAAACGAAAAAGGAACATGTACTAAGATGTCTGTTCTGCCTTCATCACGACATGTGTGATACAATTTTTGCAATGTTTTGTGAGAATGTAATGTTGTCTGCCCTTCCGTGATGTTCTATTGTGTACACTTATTGCGGAAAAGATGTTCCTAGTATGTTGCGCTATCGTTTAGGTCAATCTGAACGATGAGACTGAGTAGCGGAACTTTTCTTAGTTTAAAGTTCTTAGAGTAAACATTTTTTAATGACATGTGTTTGAATAATAAACATGTCGACGTTTTGCGATGGTTTTTTTAATGAGATAAGCCGGTAAACGAGCTGACGGATCACTTAATAGTAAGCAATTGGCGCCATGGACACCTAAAATACCAGAGGCGTTACAAGTGCGTTACCAGCCTTTTGGAAATTGGGAAATTGAGGATTGTGGGAGATTTGGGGATTGGGGAGATTGAGGAGGGGGGTAATTGGGCCTCCGGTAACCTCACTCACACGATGAAACACAACGCAAACGTTGTTTCATTTCGGTTTTCTGTGAGGCCGTGGTATCGCTCCGGTCGAGCCGGCGCATTCGTGCCGAAGCATGGCCTCCCTATACACTTAGTTCCCGTTTAATGATGATAGTTATGTAAATGGTATACTATGGAGATCAATTCCCTTAGGTAATCTTACTAAACATTCATACATAACATCACGCCTGCCTTCCATGAGTATAGGCTACTATGGAACGCCAATTGCTACGATTCATACATACCTCTATCGCTTCATCAACAGTCATCAGTCTTTTCATGTATGCTCGTCGGTTAGTGGTACTTTTAATTTGCCTTTCTTTAATATATCGCCAATCTGTTCGATATATGTATGCCTGTCTAGGACGCCCTCGATGGCCCCAAGTATAATAATGTATATCTAAACTCGTAATCATCATAATCATATGTTAAAAGTCGTTCAATACTGAACAAAGACCCATAACCACGTAAGAGTTATTGCGGAGAACCTAACGGGTTACCGAGGCTCCGGCTCCATGTGCAGGAAAAGGAACGGGGTGGGTTTTAGTCAGTAAGAGTCTGACACTCCCTCCCGCCTCACCCAAACGGGAGCAGTCATTCGATGATTTTCCCGCTTAAAAAAAAACACGTTAGAGTTAGGCTCTGCTGGCGAGTTAGGAAAAGTTAATGCTCAAAAACTTAAAGGTTAATTCTTTCAGTCCCTAACTGGCAAATAGCATGTTATAGAAATATACTGAGAATTTTACAAAATTACATTTAAGTATATTGAAAAATAAAGGTCGTTGTTTTACAGGCACTTAAAGAACACTGTCCGTTCTCTTTCAATATGAGTGCAAATTCTTTGAAACTTTGTTAAATGGTTTTATTTTTTTTTCCAGGAACAAGTAGCACCGGTCGAGGAGCCTCAGGACGATGACAAACCAATCAGGTACATATTTGTCAATTTAATTTAGACTTAAATACATTTTAATAAGAATGAAAATTGGTTACGAGTACTATTTCTAATTTTGATTGTTCATTTCTTGTTATTTTTTATTGTTAATATTTTTGTTCGAAATATAAAATCTAAAATAGAACGACTAGTAGTTTATTTTTATGTAAAACAGTCTTTTATTTTAATTATGTCGTCAAATATTTCGATTTGAATTTGGAATTAGTAGTTTGCGTTTAACTTTCTTAAATTTATTTTTAAAATTTTGTAGCATATGTATCGATTTTTTATTAAAATTAGCTTAAATGTTTTTTTTCTTCAAATTAGTCGCAGTGAATGGTAACCATGTGTCGCAACCGAATTCATATTAAAGTTAATATTATTTTATACAGTAGATTATGCTCAAAACGGAAATTCCGACCAAAAAGTTTCCATTATTTGTATTATTAGACACAGAACATTTCTCGAAATGCAATATTCATAAATCATTTATGTTTTCTTTCTTTATTTAAGTTTTCGGAGACCAAATAGCATGCTTCATGCAAAAAGATCTAATATTGCCAGAGTATAAAATGCTGTTCACTGTATGGCATACAGCCAAAATATCCAAATAGCCGAATCCTCTTAAAATTGGACAGAAGTATACAATTTTAAAAATTACTTCAAATTCAGTCAGGTTGTATTAAATCTGATATATTTTCTGTAGTGATGTTCCGAATATCCGTATCCGTATCCGTATCCGCGGATATCCGAGATAAAAGAAAAATCCGTATCCGTATCCGTGTCCGTTACTTTTCACGCGGATCTTTTACGGATCTTTTTCAGGTGATTGAGAAGAATTATTAAATAAAAAACTATAAAATTCCAATCAGATTGTTTTTAATTCTTAAAATCAAATATTTGGCACCTTTATATTGCAAACATTTAGACAGATAGATCTTTATAATGAAAGCAAGATAAAATATCACTTTTATAACAATGAAACAACTAAAACTTTAATCTTTTTTTATAATGTTATTGAGATCAATATTAGCAAATTATAACATTTTTATAACAATGAAAAAACTTAAACTAAATCTTCTCTTTTATATAATAACAGGAATATTTAATTAATATATATATAATATAATTCTATCATCATGAGCACTTTGTCATTGAAAAAAAACTAAAACTTAAACTTCCATTTTTATAATTATGAGATTAATATAAAATCACTTTTGTGTATGAGATAATGGCGAAACACATTCTAATTAAATGATAATTCTAATAAAGTAAATTAATACTGTATCTCACATAAAGTTGAACCATTAGCTTACATGAGTAAAGACAGGCAAAACTAAAAAAGCTTGAAAAAAATAATTATCATAATTGAAATTAAGTAATGGTAAATTGTATTTCAAAAAAAGCAACTTCGCAGCTTTGTCCCCCAAAAGTCTGTTACGATGAGGATCATATACAATACCTGCTGCACTAAAAAATTGTTCACTTGGAACGCTTGTTGCAGGTGATGATAAATATGTGCGAGCAATGGAACTGAGACACCCAAACCTTTTATTGTTAATCTGCCAATACTTTAACTGGTCTTGATCTCTAGGTAATCTTTTTTCTGACGTATATTCTGCGAGCAAGTTAGCTTTTGCATCTGATATTTGATTTTCGGATTGCTCAGCGTCATCATCACTATCTAACATATTAGCAATAGAGTCCTGTAAACTCTGGGAATGTTCTTTTCTAACAATAATTTGTTTGACTCCAGTACTTGTAGTTGCTGTGAGACTTTGTTCAGTTTCTAAATCTGCACGTAGTTTCTCTTTTATTTGTTTTATGAGAATATCGCTAAAGAATTTACTTTTGTACCGTGGGTCTAAAAATGTGGCTACTTGAAACAAAATATTTTTATCAACTTCTGAAAATCGATAATCTAATTCATTTTTTAAAGCAGACACAAAATCCAGAACAGGTGGTACACTGATATTAAGACTTTCCTGGATTTCATCATAAATTTTATTCAATGCTCGTACTAGAGGAATAACGGCGGATATACAAGAGTTCTGTGAGCTCAATGTTTTTGTAATATCGTCTAGAGGCTTCAGCACTTTTACTAAGTCTTGAATTAAAGTCCAGTCATCAGCATTAAATTGATCTATTTTGTTATTCGAAGCATAAAGCGACAGGGAATCTTTGATGCAATCAAGTCTTTCCAACATATGATAGCTGGAATTCCAGCGTGTCGGTGAGTCTTGCAAAACTTTTAAAACTTTTTGATTGAGTCGAACCTGTATTTTTTCCAGTTCTTGTTTTGCCATTGTGGAATGGTTGAAATGTCCTGCAATTTTCCTACATTTTGCGAGTAACACGGAGATTGTATCAACCTTTTTGATAGCCTCTTTAACCACCAAATGTAATTGATGTGCTGTACAGTCGATATTATGTATTTCAGACATAGAACAGGCGCGCTTCATATTGGATCCCCCATCTCGTACCATACAGTGCACATTTTGTTTCTGAATTCCCCATTCATTTAACATACTTTGAAATATTTCTGAAATATAATCACCAGTGTGACGTTCTTCAAGAACATTCGCTTTCAAAACGATATTTTTTCGTTGAAAGTCTTCAGTAATACCATGACATGTTAAAGATAACAATGACACTCCTGATGACGAATCTGACTAGATATCTGATGTGAAGGAGACTTTATCAAAATCTTGTAACATGTTTTTTATTTTTGATGACACTTTATCGTAAAGCTCGCTGCAAACAAGTTCCGTAAAATATTTTCTGCCTTTGAGAACATAGTTTGGAACAATATGATCCATCAATCGTCGAAACCCTAATTGTTCTACATGTTGAAAAGGCAAATCTGATAAAGCCAACATTTCAGCAATCAAATAGTCAATTTTGATTGACTTGGGATTTGTATTATCCCACATTCTAGTTTTTTCCATATATTCATCAAAAAAAGTTTGTTTAAATTCTCATTTTACCGTTTGCAAAGATGTTCCCGGCCGTGGTAGTTCATCGGTACGCTTCTTAGCGGCGTCTTCTTTCAAAAATAAATCATATTCTTCGGGATTTTTTCTTTGTAAATGATTTTTTAAAGAAGTTGTGCCTTTACCCTTCCGCGAATACTTTCCATCACAAATTTTACACTTCGCACATTCATCATTTACTATCAGAAAATATTTCCAAATTACACTAGAAAACTTCTTGGTAGACATTATTTTCAATTTTTATCACAATAATACACAAACGTTATGTCCGCGGCACAGTGTCACACTAAACCATAACCAAAACAAAAGTATTACCCGCGCAATGCAAGTTAAAACGTGTCCTGTCTTGTCCTGCCTGACGTTGCTGCGAGCGAAGACGTCAACTATCGTTTCAAGGTCGCGGGCGCCGACACCAATCGAATAAAATCGAATAAGAAAATAAAGATCCGTATCCGTATCCGTATCCGCGGATCTTTACACTAAATATCCGTATTCAGATCCGTATCCGCGGATATACATTTTTGACGATCCGGCACATCACTAATTTTCTGTCGCCAACAATTTTCGGATAAGGTCACAGTTAAACTGAAATGACAAGACGTTATTAACATAACATCACGCTTTTTATCCCCGATGGGGTAGGCACAGGTGCACATTACGGCACTTATGTCACTGTACAATGTAACACCCACTTTTCACTATTAATTTTATGAATCCTATGTAATAGGGTGTGAGCCTATTGCCATATACCGGGCACGATACCAGTCACCGTGCTACTGCTGAGAATTTTTTAAAAAACTGCATAATAAAAACCTAGTAATAACGTTATTAAGATTTATCAAATATAATTATTTCAAATCTAATTGAATTTAAATTGTATCTGTTATAAGGCAAAGGGCTCTCTATTTGAAATCACTAGTTAAAAGGGTGTATTCCATTGAAAATGTACTCTTCTTCCTACCCCTCAACGGCTCCTGATCCTGATCTGATTGATTAATTCATAATTTCTTTTATCCAATACTTCCAGTCGCAACGACAACGAGCAGTATCGTCCAGGACAGGTGTTCTCCCTGAACACCCAGGAACTGCTGGAGCTGCAGCCGGAGAGGAAGTCACCACTCTCCAGCAACCAGCTGTTGCAGCAGTTATACCGTCCCCAGCAAGAACAGAAGCAGAACCTCCAGCAGATATATTACTTGGAACCCCAAACTCCTCGCCAGGTAAATATAAGTGGTGATGATAACTTCAACACATACGTAAACATAATTAAATACACTTGGGAGCAAAGCTTCGTTGGCTGAGTGGTCGCAATTGCGACTGCCTGGCAAGAGGTCTCGGGTTCGATTCCCGGGTCGAGCAAAGTATTACTGGATTTAAAAAAGAAAAATCTTAATAGTAGCACGGAGTCTGGAACTGTGTCCGCTAGATGGCAATACGCTCACCCCCTATTACATGGGACTCAAAACATAAATAGTGAAAAGTGGGTGTTATATTGTACAGTGGCATAATGTGCACCGCTGCCTACCCCTTCGAAGATAAAAGGCGTGATGTTATGTTATGTTAAGAGCAAAGCTTTTAATAATTTTATCGAAACCCACAAAATATTCTTCAACAAACGGAAAAGAAAACCGCTAGAGGTTCCGTTTGTTTGCTCCCATGTGTATTAATTACTATGCTTATATCCCATTTCTTAGCGCTGAATATTAGAGCTTCATTGCTTTTTAACGATAGCCGTACGCTTGCTTACGTTTGTACGCTGCACCTATAAATATTAAGACCCTCTTAAGAATTAAGAACCTCCTCCTTTTTTTAAGTCATTTAAAAATAGGGTATGTTTCCTCTAAACTTAAATTTGATCAGACTATAAAATTAAAGTTTTATACAAGAACACAATTTGATTTTTAGTATTTACCGTAAGCAACTTATCCATATTTATGATTTCAAATCTAAAAATATAATCCACTCCTTTTATAAATAAAATATCACAAATACAATATATAATACAAACAAAAAAAAAATGAATATGTAATTTTCTCGAATACAATCTGACAGCTGCCAGATATTTTCGCGTCTAAGTTTAGCATCATCGCGATATGTCTGAGGAATAAATACACTTTGAAATTCCTAAAAATCTTTTCTAAGTTCTCTATCGCTATATTTAACTTGGCATTTACGTCAACAGGTGTCATACCAGCCATCTTCTCATGCCGTCATCGCGCGTCCTGACTACTCTTCGAACGGTGGGGAAGCTTCAGTAGGAGCCGCTTTGTCCGTCAGTGACTCAGGATCGAACCCCAGCGCATACAATCAAGATTTCTTGGCCTTGCTCGGGCAACCACCCTTGAGATCGTCTGAAGAACCCCTTCAACAATTATACTCCCAACCCCAACCAGTCCAGCAAATTCAGCAAGTGCAGCAGTCCTCCAATGTACAGAGCGTGGCACCTCAATATCAGCAGGTTAGCTAAATTGTGTTATTTTCCGAATATTGGCTTTAAAAGTCAATTAGTGAAACACAGAACTATTTGTTTTAATATTAAAAATCTTAAAATGTTTAATTTTACATCTACAGGTCGATCGTTACGTCACAAAGCCAAGCAAGAAATCGAAGCTGAGAAACAAGGTTCAAGTGGCGCCTCCCCAGCCTTCTGCTGCTCCTCAACAGTACCTAATCGAGACCACGAACGTTCAACAACAACAACAACAACCACAGTCTATTCAGCAGTCGCCTCTGTACAATCAACCTCTTCAGCCTCAAAGAGTACCCCAAGCTTTACGCTACGTCCAAGTCCCACAAAGTCAAGCTGCGTCCCAACAAGTTTTATACGAACGTCCTGAATCACAGGGCTTGAAGGTAGTTCCCGCTCCTAAACTGCAGCAAATCCCACAACAACTACCCAGGGCTCAAGTCAGCTATAGAATAGTGCCTCAATACCAACAACAACCTGAAGCCACACCAAAACAATATAGAATCTACGAAGCCCCGAGACAAGTTGTTAGACCACAAGAACAGCGTCTGTCTAGCCAGAGCATTGAACGACCTGTCGCATATTTGAAACGATTCCCCGACGTCGACAAAATGCGAACTTTGAAAATCTACAATCCCTCTGAAGGTGCACCTCAACCAAGTCAACAACCTGGACAACCTCAACTCATCGGCGATCAGTACTACCTTCGTCCATTGTACCGACCCATTGAACAGCAACGAGCACGCTACGATGTGTCTGCTCAAATTAAGCCCGAGCAATCAAGAGTGTCCGAATCAGCAAAAGCACCGCAGTCATCGATTTACGTGAGCAAAAATGTAGTTCCTAGAAAACCAGTGAGGCCACAACAACTGTACAGGGAACAACAGCCCTCAAGTGTCGAACAAGTAAGCCTGGAGCAACATGGACAGAGTTTGGAGGAACAGAGAGCGCAACTGCCTCCTCCTAAGAACAACAAGGCCTATACTCCTGAGGAGTTCGCAGCCTTGGTAGCAGCAGGCTACTCTGTTACCCCTGTACCAGTTAGCGCAAGCGCGATCAACCTTCAAGAGGCGCAGTCTAGATCGTCAGTGGAATCAGTGACGATGCATCCAAAACGCCGACCGATCATGGCACCCCGACGTCACCAATATCTGCCCCTTAGAGGAGATGATGCGCCTTAGAAATAATGACCCTGCTGTAAATAGGTTACTTTTAGTATTGTAAAATAAAACTAAGTGATATTCGTTTAAATTCTGTTTTATTACCCGCATATAAAATAATTATCTGAAGCAAACATAGCTACATTAGTGCCTTCAGCATAATTGTGACCACGGCCAGCGAGCGTTGGTATTCATTACGTTTTCATGAAAACCGCAACTGAATGTCCGCAAACAGGAAAGATATTATTCCGACTTCAACGTTATTTACCACTGCATTCACAGCTATGTTTCTTGTAAAAACTTTATATTTGCATTTTGAAACTCGACACTAGTTGTTAGCATTAAGACTGAAATTATATGGTACTACGCTTTTTATGTGTCTGTGAACCATAAAACACTTATTCACAAAATCCTCGCTTCAAAAAAGTGATGAATCTTCATTTTTATAAGCCATTTCATTTAGTGGTTTTCTCTGTGTATTTTCCGAGGCATTTTCGCGCAATACAGCAATTCATTCGAGCTATGAGCACGCGTTTTATGTTTGTTTGCGGAGATAATCTTTATCCTGAATATCGATCCTTAATCTCATTTTCTTTCTTCACTTAAACTATGACGAAGTTTTGATTAAACGGAATTTTGTTAGACGTTTGTTTTGATTGTTTAATCACAATAAAAAACGAAGTACGTAGTCTAGAAACTATACGAATTGTATAGGTAGGTACGTTATGAAAATTGTTGGGGTTTCTACAAATTACTTTATTAAATTCATTGAGTACTTACAAACTTTGCAAATGTTTTAGCACTTTCTTAAAGGAATATTATTATATTGACAGTCTAAATGTTTGTTTGTGACTTCAAGTGTTAACGTGTTTTTGTTGGTAAGCCTACACTTTTAGTAAAGTAAAAAGTAAAATGGTAAACCATTGGTTAGGGTAAGATCATATGAAGTATTCGTATACATTATATCTACACTTTATTCCATATTATTATTGCACCAACAAAAAGAATATCGAGATTATGGTATAAAAAACATCGTGATTGTATTCGTACTCAATTTCACACATAGTGAGTTTGATATTTGGGTACACGACAATCGCAAGCGATAGAAAAATGTATAGAAATGAATATTTTGATCAATATGTCAAGCCTTCGAGACGTATTCGTTTGAATTATTCACTATTCATTTCTCGCGTTTGAATGACATTTTTTGCAAATGTAAATCATGATGTTATGGGATCTAGTTCTAAGAGAATTTTATGTTTATACAATCAAAATGTAAGTTATTACGTAATTTCCACGTTTATATCATTGAATACCATGTATCTTCCAATACTTTAATGTAAGTAACATTTTAGATATTTTTATTACTCATATTTTATTTTACCGACTGACTGCTTCGTTGGCCGAGTGGTCGTAAGTGCGACTGCCGGGCAAGGGGTCTCGGGTTCGATTCCAGGGTCGGGCAAAGTACTACTGTGTATTTTATAAATTCTCTGTAGTAGCACGAAGTCTGGAATTGTGCCTGGTATATGACAATAGGCTCACCCCCTATTACATGGAACTCATAAAGTCATAACATAAATAGTGAACTTTTCACTGTGGGTGTTATATTGCACAGTGGCATAATGGATACCCCTTCAGGGATAAAAGGCGTGATGTTATGTTATGTTATGTATTTTATTTTATTAATTTGGCCCACCAACAATTGGTTACACTGATACAATATAGGGTTACATTTACAAAAACTGAAATACTAATGCATCAATCTATTATAGGTAAGCACAACATGCATAATGGTTTATCACTATGATCAGAGACAGGCAAATCCAACCATTGATATGGATTTAACATTCAAAATAACTAAGAAGAATTAGTATCGGAGACAAATTAAATATTAAACTTACTTAACTATATATCAAAAACAAATAAAATCAAATTATCCAAGAAATTATACTTTCGTAGCCTTCAGTACATCTTTTATCAGAAATAACGGAGTACGAGGGCAGGCGTCACTCACTAAAGAATTTCTAATATTAACGTCGCGTCGCTGCTGAACCGAATTTTTCGATTTACTCATGACAAATGGTGAAAGTTTCCGAGGACTCCTCTCAGCCGATTCCTTATAAAATAGTCCTGTTTTTACGATCCTTTGTCTATGTTCAAAGGATTTTTTGAGGATGATGACTTGGTTAGAGAGGGCTGTGTTGAAAGTAGTTGAATTATAAAATAAAATTTCACGTAATCTTTCAGTAACCCATACATATCATTGTAGTATAAATCCGCCCTGTGGATAACAGATATACAGGGTGGCCAAAAAGTCGTGGATCAAACGAAACAGGGAGACAAAGGAAGTAATTTCCAACAAAAAATCTTTCTCCAGCATGGCCATAACTTCATTGCACGAAAAGATATGAATTATTTTTGTTTTTTATGCTATCGTAGTACCTAATATTCCAAAACAACATCTAATTACACTTCATCAACAGCCTATAAGTGGCCACTGCTGACCAAAAGCCTCTTCTTGCACGGAGAAGGTATGAGCAATAAACACTACGCTTGTTCAATACGGGTAGGCGATTTACAACTTATAATTAGAAATTGTATCTCAACGATTATGATGATGTTGTCTTTCACAGTTAGTCAGTGGTATTTAAATAATCATATTACATACTCGGAAAAAGTCACATTGGTACTAACCGTTGGTCGTACCCTCAATGACCCTCATGCATGGGAACCGAGCGTCTTAAACCTCTGATCTACCTCTACCACTATATCACACTACGAACGTTACTGAAAAATAATTTGAAATACCTGATGCCTACCTCGTAAGTTTACAATCTTACGTAATTTCCAAATTAAAAGAAATAAATAAAATGACATAACATAGCATCATATGCCTTTTATTCCCGAAGGGGTAGGCAGAGGTACACATTATGCCACTGTACAATATAACATCCACAGTGAAAAGTTCACTATTTATGTTATGAGTCCCATGTAATAGGGGGTGAGCCTATTGTCATATACCGGGCACAATTCCAGACTCCGTACTACTACTGAGATTTTTTTTTAAAACCCCGTAATATTTTGCCTGACCCGGGAATCGAACCCTCTTATCCGTCAGTGGCACTCGCGACCACTCGGCCAACAAGGCAGAGGCAAATAAAAATAATATTATAATTATATCAAAATGTAAAAGTACACAATCCGGATGATATATTTTCTTTTAAACGAAGATCCCAATTACCTCTGTTTGCTTAAGAATACGTATAGTAAACAATGTATAGCCGTAAGCAAGATTAGGCCTTTATCTTACCTTACCTTCTTCGGAACAAAAAAATGTTTTTCTTTAGCTAAAAATACTCTAATTACATACTTGCTCTGTGTTTTTATGAAGCTCTTTGTTTCTTACTAAGATGTACCTAATCTGGAATAGTAATAATGTTGGTTCAAGATTTCTTATGTACCGAATTATTTTATAAGTATAGGATAATTATCTTAATTAGCTTTGTACGTAGATGAGGTTCTGAGAAATAGAAATAAGTCGCAGATATAAAAGGTCAATGGTTATTGTACCTACTTTTATTGTACCTACTTGGTTGATGTTGATGTTGTAGTTGATAGACTCGGAGAACCTAACGGGTAACCGGGGCTCCGGCTCGACGTGCAGGAGAAGGAACGGGGTGGTTTTTAGTCAGTAAAAATCTGACACTCCCGTCTCACCCAGGCAGGAGCAGTCATTCGATGATTTTCCCCCTTAAAAAAGCCATGGTTTAGATTCACAAATCAGTCCGGCAGCTGCGCTGCAATCGATGTTTAGGTTGTTTATCCTAAACAGCTGAACTAATTTGAATGAATTTTTGTTTATACATTCAAGTGGATATGCAGGACAACGTCTGTTGGGTCCGCTAGTATCTAAGTAAAATAATGATAGTTATCATGGTTTGTGTTATTGTTGTTTGACAATTGCTAGGATATAACTGTCAATTCGGACTTTTGAAGTAATCTTGTTCGCCTTCTTACTTACAGTATGTAAATGGGTACGTGATGTGTTTTAGTCTGTGTCTTCGGTCCCGAAGACGCAGACTAAAGTTTTTGTTTTTATAATTGTAATCGTATTTGTTTTCGTGTTATTCATGTAGTATCAGGCTTGAGGAGTTAATTACAACTATTATTACAAGACGTTACTATTATTACAACCAATTATTACAGTTTTTTACTATCACCTGACTTCGTTTTTTGGAAATGTTTCGTTTAGACCCTGTTTAGTTTTCCTGTCGTTATTGCCCAAAAGTGACTCATAAATAATCATCTTTTAATGACAGTATATTACTGGGTTTTTAAAAATCTCAGTAGTAGCACGGAGTCTGGAAATGTGCCCGGTATATGGCAATAGGCTCATCCCCTATTACATGGGAGTCATAACATAAATACTGAAAATTAGGTGTTACATTGTATAGTGGCATTATGTGCCGTAATGTGCACCTCTGCCTACCCCTTCGGGAATAAAAGGCGTGATGTTATGTTATGTTTAATGACAGTACTAACCAAATTACACAGAGGCTGTACCATGGAGCAATAAAGCAAGTTGCGTGGTAGGACGGGGTGATGCGGCAAATTGATTCGATTACCCACAGAGCGCTGCACTGCGCTACTCTAATTACCTTTTAATTTTATCATATTGCTCTTCAATATCGGTAATTACAATCAAGGCTTACTTGTTAGTCTAAGGTTTGATATGTCTTTTATTCCTTTACATAGTAGAAATGCAAACATACTCAGATGTGTGTTTATACAACGCCCACGTCCATACTTATTCCACACTAGTGATTCTGGTGCGGTCTCGCCCGCTCTGCTTGGTTCCTATTGATTTTAGAGTGATGTTTTGTAGCCTACGTATATGAAGGTAAATAAATGCAATATCCGACACAAAAATAATTATTCAAATCCGATCAGTAGTTCCCGAGATTAACAAACAAACCCTTTATATATAATAGTAATAATATTAACGTCATGTGCCACTCGATTCGTATTCCAGGTACAATTTCAGACACCGCGGAAAACCTAACGGGTTGCCGGGGCTCGGGTTCGAAG